TGCCTACGGTTTACCGGGCAGTTCTGTTTGTGACGATATATATATCGGTGAAACTCCGACGAAACAGTTTGTCACAGCCCCTCGTTTGTTGTCCTCTTATCCCTCTCTGCCTACGGTTTACCGGGCAGTTCTGTTTGACGATATATATAGTCAAACAGAGATGCCCGGTAAACCGTAGGCAGAGAGGGAGAAGAGGACAACATATATATAATATTGCGCTCTTTTAGTTCATAGTTACGTGACAATGCCACAGCCCCTCGTTTGTTGTCCTCTTCTCCCTCTCTGCCTACGGTTTACCGGGCAGCTCTGTTTGACTATTTATATATATACACACACACACAGAGAGAGAGAGAGAGAGAGAGAGAGAGAGAGAGAGAGAGAGAGAGAGAGAGAGAGAGAGAGACCCAACAACTGCGCTCTCTCACTGAATATAGTAAGGGATATATGTAATCAATCTCTCAGGTCCCATACAGTCATGAAGAGTGTGCTTTCAAAACTGGTGTTTCGGACAGCAGATCTCTGCTTTTACCGGGCAACACCGCCTGTCGTCATCAGGACTGTACTGTACTTGAAAGATAGCTTTCATACATTTTGTGAATGTGGTTGATGGCGCGTTTTTTCCTTGAATGTCTGCTAGCTACCTTTCAGGTCCTATGTCATAATGAGAATGGCTTCTCGTGAACTCTGTATCCTTGAGTGTATAAGGCATGTTTTCAGGTCTGAAGCAATCGAGGACATAATGCGGCGCCCAAAAGCAGAAGGAACCGTTTTCATGAACATAACATACACAATGGGCTGCCCTTGAACGTGTGTGAGGTGACAATTCCCTCTCTCTCTCTCTCTTACACCCCCCCAATTCCTCACCCCCCTCCCTAGAGAAGAAAAAATGAAAACCCCCAAAAACTGTGGCGCACTGACAATCGACTCACTGCGCGGCGCGCACTGCACGGCCCACCGCAACCGTAAGTCGCGCGTATGATATGGAGCCAGGGCCATAAGGAACCCGTTTTTTTTTTTTTTTTTTTTTTTTCAAGACCACGTGGGCAGTGCTTGTGGCAAAGAGAGTTTGCCTCAGCATTTGGGCTCCAGTCGTCGTGTTCCTATAAGAAGATGACTCCTTTCCAATGTGTGTTGTCTGAAACATCGCTATCCTGTTTGGGTGATCGTATGTTAGTGGACTGTGGGTGATATGATACATAATATTGATTGTCTGTGCAGAAGAATTCTGGCCTTGGCCTTGAATTGTGCGGGCACATGGGTCTAATGGGGGAAATGAGATTCTAGGTTGAACTTCTTGTACGATTCTTTCCTGGAACTATGGCAACAGCCTGAGAGGAACGGATTTGGAATATAAGGGCCTAGCTCAGTTGGTAAACTCTTGAGCTGTTGAAGTAAAGACCTGAGTTCGAATCCAGGTGGAACCAGATGTTTGAAATCAGATAATTCTGGATTACCTGGGGCTGGCGAGTTCGACAATGATATCTCAAGGCCGTTGCCCTTTTAAAAAAGGAAGTAAATTGTGTGGTCTGTATTACTGGGATGGCGGCTGACGACATTTGTGATTGCAGTGTGTCAAGACAGAACAAGAAGCAAAGCAGAAGGCTATCCAGGAGCGTGTAATTGCACACCTCAGGGTGGAGCTGCTTGCTGCAAATTCCAGGAACGAGGAGATTGGAGCCAATTATAAGACAGAGCTGTGTGCCGTGCAGCTTAAACTCCGAGAAGCAGAGAATAGGTGTGGATTGCTGGAAGCACAACTCGATCTCAAAGAAAGGACCACTAAGGCCAGGTGTCTGGATCTTGAAGAGGCGCTAAGCATGACCGTAAGTTGTCTGAGAGAAATCCCAAACCCAGAACCCTAACTCCAGGAAACAGTGAACAAGATTGCATAGGTGATGTTGTTAGCAGCAATAGGCTGTAGTGTCCAAACTCAACACACACCAACACAACACCACTTACATGCCCAGCAAAGTCAACTCTCGCCAGCAAGTAGAATCCGCTTTGATACCAATGTTACGATCCTGGCCAATTTCGAAGTATACAAACATCAGAAAGTACGATGACGTCCAATTGCAAAAAGAAATGAATGAACTTGAGAGGGGAGAGAGGGAAAGAAGAAGAAGAAGAAGTAAGAAAGAAGAAGAAGATGATGTACTCCAGCATAGACCAATGAAAAGGCTCTTCTTCCTCGCCAACCAATCTCCTCCTCCTTATCTCCTCCCCTCTTATTCAAACAAGAAATAACAATAATAATGTTGAATGGCTGAACCAGAATCAATGTCTGAATCCCACTTCTACTGCAGGCACAACATGAGGTCCACCATAGCCATGGTCACCCTTCCCCTTCCTCTACATACAGGCCAAGGCTATGGCAGAGTACTGAGGGTTCTCCCTCCTGTCCAAAGGACAACCCAAAGCAGCTGTGACGCTGCCCTTCTGTCCCCAGGTCAACTCCATGCAGCTATGCCGCTGCCCACTCAACCGCCATGCCTGACTCTGTCCCGAGCTTCCTTGATGCGGCACTACCCCCACTGGGGCCTTCCAGATGTAGCGCCTAACAAGGTGATGAAGATGGTGTCTACCATAGCCAGGTAAGTACCCCACCACTCTCCTCCTTGGTCCCCTTCTCCCTCCTCCTCCTACCGGTAGAGCTCCACCATAGCCAAGGTGGAAGCTCC